GGGGGGGGGGGGGGGGGGGGGGGGGGGGGGGGGGGGGGGGGGTGGTAAACGTCCGCAGCACGCGGGAGAGAGTCAAGCCTTCCGTGGACGTGGTGACGGTGGTTGTTTTCCCCCTCTTCTCCCTTTCTGTGGCGTCTTCTTGGTGGTGGTGATCAGGGCGCGCACTGGTTTTGCCGACACGGACTGATGTCTTTCCAATGTCGTCATAGTGGTCGGGGGCGGGGCGAGTGAACCCGCTCGGCTGGTAGCTAGTCTGCGTTAGACATGTGAACACGATTAATTATCTACATTTACTGTTTCGAAAGCGGTGTACTCGTCCGTTGCTCGAAGGTGCGGCCTGTGTTAACCCTGACCCACCCCCCCTACAGTACTGTACAAGGTACATGAGAAATATTGTCGGTTGCCGTAAGAGCTCATCTAGAGCTTGTTCCTCCATGTTGCTCACTCACTCGTAGGTCTTGGTGAATATTTTTCAAGTGCTCGGTGTCTATTCGTGCGCAACCCCCCCCCCTACCCTGCGGGGGTGACCGCTCGTCCAAACGGGGGGGGGTGTGCACGCATCTCTCCAAGTTTGGGCGCGGTGCCGTGTTGTCCCGCCTCCTCGGCTCACGGAAGGTTGTTACAGTTGCGTACCTCAGGTTTTGTTCCTGAGGTTTTATTTGACTTGATTAAACGTTGCGGTTCATGGGATGGGGCTTGCTCCGTTTACTTGTTTCGCTACCCGGTTCTTGTCACGATATGACTGCATGTCCCATGGAACGTGAGAGGACAAAGGATGATATATTTCACCACGTATCTTATTTTTCTTTGCGGGAAAGGTTGTGATGAAACAAACCATTGACAAGCGGGAGAGAGAAGCGACAGCTTCGCGAAAGAAGCGGTTTCGTGGAACGGGGGACATATTCTATGCTGTGTGCTGATTTCTTCCCCTGCTGCCGGTTAGCCCGGTTATTGGTGAATGCTTCATGTGAACCGGAGACCGTATGCGGTTGGTTTGTTCCCTGCTGTCTCCTTCCTAGCAGACAATCAGTTTATGCCGCCTCGTGGCTTGCGTTACTGGCTCTCCTATGTGTGCAGGCCTACCTAGTCTGAAATAGGAATTGAATCCATGTCGTACAGGTGGTGGATAGATGGATGGGCGGGTTGACGAACAATCTGATGTGCGATCCAGCGAATTGTCGGGCCCGACGTGATGAGACTCCCGTTTTGCCGTGAGGTATCATCCGTTTTTTTTATCCGGTTTTTTCACGAGCCGTTTGACTGCATCAGTCTCGTTGGTTGGACAAGAGATGGTATCGTGTCTGTCTCTGCGCGTCAGTCACAGGCATGCTCTTCTACTTGGTGTGGGTGATTTCATTACTTGGAAATTTGTGGTGGAAGCATGTTTGGTCTCTCGGGACGTTGACCTCCTGCTGCACGGAGCGTGCGGTAAATATGGAAGTTGCTGTTGACGCCGAAGGTGGTGGTTTGGTTGGTCTAGCCGCTCGCTGGACGCAGCAGGTAGGTAAGTCAACTTGAAATCAACCGCACAGCAACCAACTTGCTTGATCTTCCGGGAGACGAAAGTCAAACCAAAAAAGGGGGTTCGGTTGGTTTGTCTTGTCCTATTACGAGGAAATTTTGTGTGTACGAAAGTGCTTGTGTTGGACCTTTGTTAAGTACCGGGGGAAGGATAGCCTTGTGCGCCCCCCCCCTGCCGTCCTTTTGTTTTTCCTGTCGAATTGTCTCATGGTTCTCATGCTGCTGCATGGTTGTAAAAATTCCTGCTTACATCACAACAAGAAGTGAAAATCGGCCTAACCTCTGTCCAGCATGCGTCCCGGCTGGTCGTCAACGAAGGCTAGGGCAACCCCCCAGCTAATCTGGACTCTAAATCAGCGCACACAAGCTCCCAGGTTTTCTGCCGGGCAAGAGCTGCTCCAATCGGTGGTCAGAAATACACAAGGCTTGCTCCCCTTGGGCGTACATACCAACCTCCTGATGCTCGCCTTCGCTTTCTACCGCGAGAGTAGTAGCACTTTCTTCCCTTGGATGCGTACACACGAACAAGCAATCGTGCTTTCCACACCATTCTATTGGCTTGCGGATCCTACGGGTCTAATATATTTCCTCAACATCTTTTTTTGGGTAAGTTAGCCCGTGACCACGGGTATCGACCCCAAGCGTTAGACTAGTACGAACAGAAGGTGCTGGGCAGAGAGATTGGAACGATTGTTAAATGTGACGACAAGAACAACAACATGCATCAGGAACGGCAGCGAGAGAAAAGCTCCTCTGCAAGAAAAGCTCCGTTGCGCCGGGATTCGAACCCCTGACTGATCCTGGGTGCTACGAGGTTGCGAGCGTACTCCCTCAACCACCACTACAGCTAGGAAGGGTAAAAGCGGGTGTCGATCCGGAAAGATAGCAACGTCTTTGTCGCCTTGATCGGCAAAGGAGATAGCTCCCAGGGCAAATCCCTACAAACGTACATGTGGAGAAACAATGCTGCGAAAAATGTTTGCTTATCCTCGAACAAATGCTGACAAAAACGCGTATTTGATGCATGTGGTGGGGAAAAGCAAACAAAAACATCACTACTCACTAAATAACAGTCGTGTCGGAGCTCCGATACAGCAGTATATGCTGTTCGGATTATTTTCACACCACAAGAAAGCCCTATGTATACAGGAGCCAAAACCCTCAAAAGGAACTTCACACGCACAAAAAACCACACCGCCGACACTGCCACTTAGCATGGCTACATACATATGCAGCATTTTCGATTGGTCGTCTGGTCGCAAAAAAATAGTTAGGCGAACGCTCCGCAAAACAAGCGCTATCATCTTGTACTCCATGCAACAAACAGTATGAAATGCAAAGTCCCTGAACCGATGACTGAACTATGATACAAAAAAAACAAAGTACCAGGTTGAGCAGGTAACAAAATTCGAGCAAATAATAACAATTCTCACGAGTGATTACAACAGAGAGGGGAACGCGGAAGAGGAGTGTCACCGATCGATATAGCATGCAGGAGGACCCGTAACGTGTTGTCCGTGGGGACTGCTGTTGAGTTCTGCCCGGTAGCAATGTGATGAGCGTCGAACCAATGACTACATCGATAGGTGCTTGAGCAAAACAACTACCTGAGGACGGATGTCAAAAATAAAAACGAATGGCTTTGGTTCTCACCACAAGAAAGGACAACACCGCAGTAGCGGAAAACGACCACGGCAAGGAAAAAAAAACACCGAACGACACCCTCCCATGCCGCGAAAGATTGCGCACTTCTTCCGCTGCTCCACTCTAAAATGTGGGGCGTAATCAACCTTCATCCGTCGTTCTAGATAGAGATGGTAGGTCATCACACGCCTGGCCCAACCACGGCAAGTCCCCCAAGCATCCCTAGGCTACCAACTACGGCCCACAAGCCCGCTGTCATGGCGACGACCCCAACCGCCTGCCACACCCCACCGCCGCTCAGGCCGGGAAACCGGAGAGGGGGCTTGAGCCGTGTCTGGGCCCCGTTCAAGTCGTCGGCGTTTTCGAAAGATCCGATCTGAGGCGTCACGACGACAGCGGTAGTACAGCAGTCGAGTTACAATGTCATCAGACAATCGTTGCATGATCTTGGGGGGTACTATTACTGTATGTGGGACCTTAGCTGGGTGATAGATCCCTGGGTGCCATTTTCATGTGATTGCATGGGAGACAGCCGCTGCCACGCAAAGCAGCACAGCAGCGTTTCGCCACGACACTGGACAAAGCTATACCGCCATACAAATAGCATCCAACTTTAATGAAACGTCATATCGTGACTGACTCGACAACAACATTCCAACCAAAAAAACACACGATCAGTACGCGAATACTTGATCCGCGCTTCCAAAGACCAGCATGGAAGCGCAGATACTCAACCGCCACCGTGCACTAACCTCGCTCGAGCTCTCGCTCTCGCCCACGGGAGCATTCGTGGGGATGGGCGCCATGGTGCCGTCGATATCGGGGGCCATCGATGGGTAAGGCGTTGTTGAGGGGGGTCTCGTCCAGTTGGGGGAGCCGGGGGCACACTCAATGTTGACATTATCTAGCTGGATGAGGCAGTCGGTATTGAGGCAATCCCGGCTTTCGGAGGCGTCGTCTTCTTCTAAGCTGTTGTACTGGAATCTGTCGAGGTGGAGACAACACGCGTTGTAGGGGGGGGGGGCGTACGCTTACGTTTTGCATGCCTCAGCGGATGGACCATTGACCAAGTGTCCTCGAGAGGGCGGAGCACTGTTCCCACAGGACCCATCACCGATGACCAATCGTTCCGTTCTACTCTGCCAAAGGTGGCTCAAAAATGTCTTCCCTAGTCTGTCTATCCTAAGATATATCTTCCCGCCTTTTCAACCCACCTCGTATACCCCAGTACAGCTACCGTCCATTCCTCTCTATTCCATGCCTCAAACATCTCCCTGTACGTCCCATCTATTTTTCCCGGCTCAGTCACGTACACTTCTCTCTCCTTGTACCACGGACATTCCGCGACTACATGAACACGGTCTTCGCATTCGAAGCCGCAATCACATTTGAACTCGTCGTCTTCCTCGTCTACCGTCCGATGTCTTCGACGTTCTCGACGGCCCATGTCCCCGGTCCTGAATTTGACCTTTAGCTTTGTTACTGCATCCATTGGTCCATGTAGGAAATCCTTGAACCCTTTTCCTTCCTTCAACATTCCGTACACTTCTAGACCCTCCTTATCCTTGGATTCTTTCTTGAGATTCTGTCCTCTCTCTGCACAAGCAACATATATCTTCTCCTTGATGTGGAGACCACCTTCATAAAGGTGAAACTCCCCAACTTCTGTCGAGGACGAACCCCTCTTTTCCTCAATGGCGTCGACGAAAAGATATGTCAGCGTGCCTGTTTTTGGTTGCAAAAGGCACGGGTTCAAAACCCGCTGCTCACCCAATTTTCGTCCGGAATACGGAAAAAGAAAAGCGGTGGGTGGGCCAAGAAACGATGCACTGTATATCGAACTCGAAACTTCTGGCAATGCGTGGCGGGAGTGGCGCACCCGCACACACGCACACAAGATTGTTGGAAAAAACGGTGGTTCTACTCGCCGCCAGCCGGTCGGGTTCCGGTTACTCCAAGAAGACTTTCTCGCCTAGCAAACAAAAGAAGCCTCGAAAAAAAGGGGGGGGTTAAGTGGAGACCACCTTCATAAAGGTGTAGGTTGAAACTCCCCAACGTCTGTCGAGGACGAAACCCTCGTTTCCTGAATGCTTGAACCCCTTTACTTTAGACCCTCCGTTTCCAGCGTTTCATCTTCGTCGATGTCGAGCCCCTTCCATACGTCCTCTACAACCTTGACCCATTCCGTGGGTTGTCTACCCCTC